AGCAGGTGCTACTGATCATGGCTCCTAGCTGTGCTTACCTGTCAGTTATGGTGTTCTTCTAGGCCTTCGAGTGTAATGTTGTTTCTTCTTAACGCAGGCAAACAACTGATACTTTTCTTTCAACTAAGCTTTTGTATTCTTGTATCTTGTAATGCTGCGTTTGAACCAAACTTGACAAAAACTGTGCTAAGCAACACACAGGACTAAGCTAACTGTATTAGAAATACCTCCGTGAATATTGTCACATGTCACTATTCTCTGGTGAACAACACTGTATCTCCAGTGTTGGTGAGTTTCATGCTTTAGTTGAAGGGTTACATATCTCAAAACCTATAGGAAAATGCCAAAACACATCATCAGCTTCAGCCAGGCTGTTTTCTTCATTCCCAAGACCTTAACATTTTGGAGATACAAGGTTTGATGTAATTAAGAAAGACAAAGTAAAGCAGTTCAGTTGGAGGCACTGATATCCATAATGTACAGGCAGTTGTTAAATGGCTGATTGGACAGAGTTGTTCCCACCTAAATCTGCTGCAGCCAACAAAGCAGTGTGTCTGAAAAGGCAGTGATGCAGCTTGAGTGGTTGAGTTTCTGAAAATAATGTTTATTGTACCTTTTCAAAGAAGCAGACAGGCCTACAAGAGAAGAGGATCACATGCAAACACTGTAACAGCTCAGTTGCCCACTTTGCAGCGGACAGGATGTAAACACTGAAAAACAAGGACAACACTGAGGTTTACTAACATGTTCAGTGCATGTGCAGGACTACTGTTTGAAATCCCATATTTTTATACACTTTGGTTGCCTTTCATTTATATACACATTCCTTTCCCTTTGTCATACATTAACCCTACAGGTGGGGGAGGGACCGAGCTGCCACAGGAAGTGGTTCACCTAGTAACATTTCAGTGTGGGTGTGTCTAAGAGAAGTCAAACACTTCTAAAAGTAGAAGATAATTATATTGGATGGAGAGTAAAGGTTGAATGATAGAAGAAAGGCATGATACTGGATTAACCACTCATCATGTGTATGTTTAGGTGAGCACACCTGCAGAGCTTCATAATTGGCTGGGAGTAACAGACAGAGTGACAGCATGTGCTGAGTTGGTCTATTAATAACATTCTGACTCACTGGAGGCCTAGGGATGTGTGTATATGCTGGTGTCCTTGTTTGTCATGATACAAAGATTACCTAATGCAAACTGGTTACGAAACAACTTTCCATTATCCCTCTTAAATGCACTAAAGCAGGCAGCAGCTACAGGAGCTGATGGAGGGGGCTCCACCGCCCCTGAGAGGGTGCTCAAGTGAAAATCACACATTTTAAAGGATCATCGGAGGCATCCTCTGTCAGGGATCTGCTTACCTGCAGGGAGGACCCCTCTGCATTAATGATGCATCAGCCCCAGTAAAACAAACCACAGGATTATATTTCTGTGTTCTGGCTGACATGCGTGGTGACACGGAGAACACACCGGAGTCAAAGAACATACAGGTGACTGGATTTAATTTATGTGAGGAGATGAGCAAAGATGGCCATCACAGGGTTTCCCTTTTTTTACGTGAGCACAGAGTGTAGAGGGGCCAGGTTTCAGCAATGAAGTCTCTTCTAGTTAAACCTCAATAATTCATCAGGCACATACTGTTTTTTACAAAGAAGATCTATGTAGATAGTGATGACTGTGCTCCCGCATAAACAGGCGGCCAAGAAAAATGGCAGCTTGTTGAGACTGACCTTTGCAGTGTTTCAGAAAGATACAAAACAATAATTTGTAGCTGAACGCATCCAAAAGGACCATACCTGTGTTTTTGCAGTTTTACTTTGAATCATTTACAATATACATACAATAGCAAAACATTGTATTTGGAATGTATATATTGAATATGTTTTTATACCTTCCAGACAGCTATTGGTTCTAGCTTGCAGGAAGATCAGCTTCAGTGAGCATCCTGCTTGGGTTTATTTTTGTCAGGAAGTTATAATATCATATTGTGGTGATGTAAATGAAGAAGAACACTGAAAGACACTTCCCTTTTTAATGTATTTTCAGTGCAAGAAGTTGCCAAACTGACGTCTTCTCACTGTGTATGTTCTTATTATTTATTTTGCTGATACTGATATTTTACTGATAGTAGAGCTCATAGTAATGTAATTATCTTTGTCTGAGCTTCTCAGCTTGTGATTTCACCACAGCAGCAGGTTTTTCAAATTAATTCATGCTTTCTGTTGCATTAGCACACAGTGATCATGTCATGATTGAGAAGAATAAAACTAAGCATGGTGTTCACTGTGAAGATGGTCAGTGGTGAGGCAACGCGTACACGGTCTGTAGCAAATGAGCTAAACCTGCAGAAATGCCAGTATGATCCTTTGAAAATTCAAAACTAGGACTCATCTTTTTCACTGCACTTTGCTTTTTAGTTGATGATACGTTCTTTTAGCAGTATTGACCAATAAGTGTACATTCTTTTAGCAGTATTGACCAATAAGTGTTTACCTCTTCAAACAGCACTGTGCTCAGCCACTCACTACAGTTCTTTACTATGGTATTCACGATACTCAATCTAACCCAGTTACAGTATGTGTCCTTCAGTGGTTACTTGGCTACTTCTGTTGTTACCCTTTAAAGTGTAACAGGTCTAAGGTCTGTTTCTCACTGTGACGGCATTTTAAGTTTAGAGTTTGAAGGATCGGGGTGGTGGGCTAATCCACGCCTGAGAGTGGGGCGCTGTGATAGGGTGCATTGTATCTTACCCATGTGTCTTAACCCAGAGTTAGCTCTCTCTGTGCTCTTCAGTGTGTGATGCTACTGATCTTTGCAGAAATAGTGCTTATATATTATTTTCCATAGTTGAAAAGTTGTTTATATTTGACATGGTGATATGGACAAAGTTGTGTAACACACTTGGATATGTGTAAAGATGTTTTAGGTTCTATATTATCCATAGCATCTCCAGTGTGTGCGCTGACCTCTGTCTACACCTCTGACCTTTAGTCCAGTGTTGTTTCTTCAACTGCAGTCACTGTATGTTTTTGTAAAATAGAAAAAACACCAGAAGAAAAATATTTATTAAAGTGTGTTCCAAAAACCGTATACAAATAATTAAATGGACATGATTTTATTTTGAAAAAGTACAGCTTTTTAATTTGACAAGTAATCAAAAATAACAAGAGTCCAGTATGTATCCCAGACTAAATAAAGCTCTCGTTTCCTGACCAAACCCTGTGGTTGTGTACTATACACTTGTAGTCTTGTTTTTGTCCTCTGTATATACAGAATCTGTCCACAGTCATGTCCAGGCACACAATTTCAGTTGTACTAGGACACTCACTGTCAGTACACATAATACACCAGTGTTATTACTAGGGCCGTCAAAGTTAACTCGATAATAAAGCTAATTCCTTTTAACGCCACTGTTTTTTTTTATTCGTGGCAGACTATGATTATGACCCTTGGCCTGCACCGTACACACTATAAATGAATCTAGACAAATTGTGGAAGCTGCTAGCGAATCCTAGCTCCTTTTTCTGGCCAAGGCATGGAATATTCCTCAGTTTTTCATTACTGTACAAAAGAGTGGGGAGAGAAATGTCAGCTAGTTAAGTTTCATTAGTCGGAGCTGAATCCGGGTATTTTGATGAGCGGGAACAGGGAATTCAACAAGCCGGAAAAATCTTTGTGTTGTTTACCCCCAGGTTAGTCCCAATTATTTAGCTATAAAATAAAAGGTAGTGATGGGAAGCATGGATATGTTAAAGGAAATCGAATTTAATAATACATTCAAGATTGAGAGATGAAGCCTCATTGACGTGTTATAGGCTTATAGACTACCGTACTAGGCTATTTGTATTTCATATACTGTACATGCTCGATATAATCTGTAATATTTGGAAACTAGCTAGACTATCATTAGACTAGATATAAAGGCAATGTTCCAGTTTGCAATAATTCTGCCGCATTTTTATAAATTGCAAAATGCTTCCCTGTATCGACTGAGCTCTCAAGGTTGTTGTCTGGTTCGTGCATCATTGTGTTGTGAACTCATTTTGCATCAAATCATCACTGTTGCCATTGTTTTGTTTTGTGTTGGTTGTGTCTGTTGACTCACTTGTGGATTGTTTTCTTTGGGTTGTTCATTTGACACAATATTTTTATGGATGTGCTCTAAAAGGTATAGTCTTGATGATACTGTTAGAGGGTGTTATCTGTTGTTATGCCCCTGCACGGGGGACAGCCTTGGCCAGGGTCATTATGTTTGTAGGTTTTCTCAGAAACGCCTTTAGGGAATTTGTTCAAATTTGGCACAGATGTCCACCTGGATTCAAGAATGAACTGATCCTGAAGGATGAAGGATTATTTTGGTGGTCACAGGTCAAAGGTCACAGCGACCTCATGTCTATCCCGTTTCCATGAATTTCACTGGTGTGATTCATTCCGATACGTAATGCAGGCCGCTCTCAGGTTTGATATTGTGTTTCAACTGGATGCACCTGTGTGAATTGTTGTTGATTGCACTGATTGCGTATTGCTATCAGGTGTGATATATGAGTACATAAATATCGGACATTTGTATTGACTTACCTTGAGGAAGACCAGTCGGGGTGAAATCTGACCTTCATAAAAAATCATGTAAGCTTAGTGTGTGGTCATTTACATTATTTTTGGTTCAACTTACAACCAGCACCTGTCATCAGGTGTGCATTCACTCAACTTTACATTGAGTATTTAATGTGATTGATTCCATATAAAATACTGCAGAGGTCACTCTAAATGATTTTAAAAAGTGGAACTGTACCTAAGGTGCTTGACTACAATTAAGGTAGAAGACTCTGGAAATTTGACCAGTTTGGTATCGTCCAGATTCACTGTAAGTACATGTACACCAGTACAAGGTGCAACAGACATTTTTCACAGCAGACCTATCAAGTTGTCACAGTAGAAAAGCACAGGTGTAGCTAATAATAATAATAATAATAATAAT